CTTAGGTTCGAGGACCACCGAACTATTCATTCCCTGAAGCTACCCATTGGCGTAAAGATACCAAAGAGCGTAAAGATTCCAAGAACCGCGAAGACGGTGCAACTTGATGGTCTGAAACCTCCAAGCTGGATCCACCATCGAACGGTGTCAACCTTGCCTGCGCTAGCTAACGAAAAGATCGCGTGAATCGAGAAAGCAGGAGATCGAAGGTCCCGTACACGAGGTGACTCGAGTCACGTGGTGCGCGTCGTACGGGGTATTCATGCGATCGCACGATCGACCTGTGGCGGAGGGGGCAAACCACTCGTCGTTATCTGCTCGTTCCCAGCACGGATGACTCACCGTGAACACGCGTGACCGTGGGAAAAAAAAAAAACAGGGCGAAAATTACGCGATAGACGATCGATCGGTAAAATCGTTCCGGCGTCGAACAACACCTTCCGCGAGATTCACTAAAGATATCCCCTGCTGCGAGGACGGCGAACGGTTACACTCGCGCACAGTCCGAATTCCACATCGTCACATGGCGGTCTCCCCCGGTCCAAGGACGAGGGGTCGTTCTTTGCGAGGGAGGACGATCCCTTCGTTCCCACGAGCCACGTTTCCTCTCGCGCGACGTGTTCTTCCCAAGTTCACGTACCCCCGATGTCGTTTCCATTCGTCGCGTCCACCGTGTCCGTCTACGTCCGCGACACGAAATCGTACCCGTCGATCGCAAGCACCTCGTGGCGGATCACGCGATCGATCCTCGTGGGTTAGGGATGAGTCACCGAAACGAGCGGCACGGGCTCACTCACCTGTGCTGTTGCTGGAACTTCCAGAGCTTGGTGTAGATGTCAAAGGTGCGCCCGAAGTAGCCCTGCCACTGCTTGTGCCCGTACTGTGGCAGATCCCGTAACCCGTTGAACAGCTGCTTGCTCTTCTCGAGCAGGTGGCAGAACTCGAGGACGACTTTTCGCTCGTGGTCGTCCATGCCAGCCATCATGACCATCTTTTCGGTGAATCGAGATCGCGGCCACTGGCTGGACGACGGCCCTTCAGACGACGGTCGCGGCGGCCCCGCGTGATGGCGCCTGCCGATTCCGCCACCCTTTTGCACTCTGACTACGACGCCGACCAACGCGCCGTACCAATCAATACTTGCCCACCCCGCATCAGGGGGCGCAGCGTGCGTGGCCGTCGTACACGCCACCAACGACGCCGTGCAGCGTCACGGCGCGTCGCAACGTCGACCTGGGACATCTGTCCGCTCGGCCGGTAGGCTGTGAACCCTCTACGATCGGGAGATCGATGGATCCGTGTCTGGCGGTAAACGCCGGACGTGCTACGGACGGTTTCGGGGTTGGTTATCGAGGGTGGTAACGGTGGTAAGGGTGGCAAGTAGATCCGGGGTGACTGCGATGTCGCCACTGGTCGCTGCGGGTGGCTCGAGCTGTTTTTTAACGCGGTTACAGTGGGAACGCGACTGGTCCTTGCATTTGAATATAAAATAATTTTTGGCATAAAAAAAAGGCTATAACCGACTTGGAAGAAATGTTAAAATTGCGGTAAAACGTACGAAACGATTTCTAGTTGATCGATACGAGTTCTAGATACGATTACAGATACCGGTTCTGGATACGATTGCTTAAAAGTATGAAATTATTTCTGTTTCCTTTATATTGAAGTTATGCTAAATAACCGGTCAATTATCGAAATATGAACGAAATTATTTTCAATAAAAAGAAAATGGAAACGTAATTCGCTTCACGATGGGACTCGCGTCGTGAAATGAGGAAAAAATGAGTTGGTTTGGAAGGGGGATAGGGGGGGGGGGGGAGAGAGAGAAAAAAATTAAATGTCGAAATTGGAAGAATGTAAGTTTCTTTTTTTTCCAGAAAAATAAAAAATTGTTGCTGAATAGGAATTCGAACATTTTATTTTGTAACTCTTTCGCAAGGTTCGTTTAAAAACGCACGTTTCGAGAAAAGAAACGTCTAATTTGGTCAATTTTACAGCAGAGCTATAACTATTTGCAAATAAACCACGATTCCTTCTGAAAGATTCATAAGGTTTTTCTTTTTTGATCCGGTACAGTAAAATCCACAAACATTCACGAAAAATTACTCAGCAGTGTGCTGTGATATAAAAAAATTTCATCCGAATCGAAAACGGTGGAACACGTCCCATCTACATGGGATCAAGAACGATTGCTCTCCAAAAAGTCCAACATTCGACTCGGTTACATTTTTCACCCCGAACCACCGGTTATCCCAACCCCTATCGCAACTATTTGCAAATAAACCGCGATACTTTTTGAAAGATTCATAACGTTTTTTTGTTTTGATCCGGTACAGTAAAATCCACAAATATTCACGAAAAATTACTTAGCAGGGTGTTATGATATAAAAAAAAAAACTTTCAACCGAATCAGAAATGGTCGAACGTCCCGTATATGTGGACAGGCCTGAGATCAAGAACGATTGCTCTCCAAAAGGTCCAACATCCAACCCCCAATTACAATTTCTCATCCCGAAGCCCCGGTTATCCAACCCTCTGCTAAAAAAATAATAAAAAAAAAAAAAAAAACGTTCACCCTGCTTCATCGACAGTTTTTAGATCGTTCGGCCTGTTTTCTTTTTTGGTAATTAAAATTTCCTAGTCGAAGGGTTTCGAGGAGTGGTGGATACGGGGGTGGGGAGGGAGGGTGGCGCGAATCTAGGGTGCACGAAGCGGGTAGCGGGGGATGGCGCTCGACACTTTCGTTGTCGTGGCTCGTTACGGCTGCAGAAACGGTGGGAGTTTTGCCGCCCTGGTAGTCGGCAGCCGCCGTCGGCGGAGATTAATTAACTAGATAACGGTCGGGCGGCTGGCGAGGGAACGTTGAAAGAGGAGAGCCGACGGCTGCGAAAAGGAGAGAGGTCGACACCGCGGGGGTGGAAACGGCGTACGCGCCCGAAACGTACAACCATCCAATGGGAACCCCATAACTAGCGATGGGATCAAGACGCCTTGACTGACGCAACCTCGAGAGGATCGTGTCGAACGAGACGCTAACCGTGGGTGCTAACAGATTTTCAACATCTGGATTCGTGTATGCTCAGGTTTGGATATGCCAAGTCGCGGATGAGAATCGTTGGTACAATCGGATTTTGCAGGTGGAGGATGGTATGGTATGTAACTCGAGATACTAATTATAACTATAGCGACGCTAAATTTTTTCGAGTTTTTTTTTTCCGAATTTTTAGTAGGAATTAGAGAACATCGACGCTGAGAGATTATGATATATGTATATATATATAAGTTTTATATTAATCGGTGCGAGTATGGTTAGAGTATGATAGAACACGCATCGAAATTGGAAAACCGTAAATTAATTTTAAGAATGTTTAATTTAGTAATGTTGGTAACATTTTCGGACGAACAAAAATTCGATTTTGATGGTCCCGACGGGCTACCGACTGAAAATACGAAACCTTTAAGACTAACAATACATGTCAGGCGTAGACGGTGCTACTATAGTTATGCTCCACAGTGTAGTCTTCACCGTACAAAATGAAAGATGCGATTCAAAAAAATACTGCGCTCAAGGTTTCCCACCTCGGACCTCGAAAAAATAATCCAATATCCTATCGATGGTGACCCTGTCAATCTTCCTAATCCAGCCTCTAATCTTACTAACCTATCCACCACTCGAAACGAAAGTGTCGATGAACCACCCCCCGCACACTTCCACTTTCATTTTTTACGAGAACTTATCCTCCAATTCGTTGACACCCCGTCGCACCTTCAGCTTCCCCACCGAATCTTCAGGTCCGCCGATTCGTCGCGGTTGTGGAAAAGAAACAACGAAATCCAGGGGTCGCGAACAGAGCGAGAGGAAGAATCGAACGGCCATCGCCAGCCATGACGGGTGTTTCGGAGTCGGACGGTCGACTCCAGGCGTATATCGACTGTGTCGCCTCATCTACAAGTCAATCAGGCTCGCGTGCCAGGGACTCGTGAAGGCGGCTGGTGCACGTAAGTAAGTAGCCAGGCCCGCTGGCCAGCCGTAACCGCGTATACCTGTGCCACCGCCTAATACGACCGCCGACACGGCCACCTTTATGCCGGGTATGCAAGTATAATGCGCCGCTGCATATATGAATGCTTATGGTAATCCGCGCGCGGCAGCCTCGTTTCGACGTTGGCCCGGATGCCCGCTAGATAGACCGCGGCCCCCGTCGTCTATTGTTATCGGTACGTGTGCCCGACGGCGCTTTTCCTATCGGCCACGGGGCTACACACCATCAACGGACTCGCTCCCCTGATTCTTCTGTCCCGGGCCAATTTTCACGGGGGATAACGTAGGTTTAGGATTCACGAATTCAGGATTTAAGAATTTCAAGATTGAAGAATTCAAGATTGAAGAATTCAGAATTGAAAAATTTACGATTAAAGAATTCAGGAATTCAGAATTGAAAAATTCCAGAATTGAAAAATTCAAGATTAAAGAATTCAGGAATTCAAGATTGAAGAATTTAAGAATTTCAAGATTGAAGAATTCAG